CTGGAACACCCATTATCCACAAAGTAAGGTGCATTTYTATAGCTAGGCTGGTTAATGTATCWTGRGAATGGTGGCTGACCTTCACTGGTATATGTGTCAATRAAAATACAGATGGTGAATTCAGATGGCTTTCTTGCAAGGCCAAAACCACCTCCCTTCTGCCCCCACATCTGGATTCCAGTTTAAGAGTTTCCAGAACAAGTGGAGGTATGTAGAATCATAGAGCCATTTATGTTGGAAAAGGCCCTTAAAATCAAGTCCAAATGTTTACCCAGCATTGCCAAGACCACACTAACCCATGTTCCTAASTGCCAGATACACAAAGCAACCTGGTCTCAGATCTGACTCTGCTGTGAGCAGAAGGTTGGACTAGAGACCTCCAGACGTCTCATAACCTGAATTATTCTATTATAGTATGCTCTTGCAGTCACAATGATCACTAGTCCAACAAATATGGTATGTCTGCATTCAGGTAATGAAGCAATAGTCCAGCCAGCTGGTGGTGTGACTGTTTAGCAGAGGGGTAAATAGACTTGTGGGATCAATTCTGTTGTCAAACAACATCAATGAAAACCCGACATGCCCCAGATTCAGCAAAACCATCTATAATCACAGATAGGTGATACAGGCAGAAACACTTCGTACCATGCCTACTCTTCAGTTTCTGAAGCCAACSTGCTCACACACCCTAGAGTAAGCTGGGTGCTTGCCAAACCACAARATTATGAAACAAGGAGAGGCACAGGTTGAGCAGCAGCAGTTTACCCTTGTTATATTTTCTCTTTGCTCCTCTGTGTCTTTGTACATTTGGAATGTAAGTTTTTCAGAAGGTAGAATGGGGTTTTCTCTTAGTGCACCTCCTCTCTGAGGAGGCAAAGTGCTGTGGCCTCTGACTGGTGTTCTTAGGTGTTGTGGTAGCACAAATGCTATGCAACAACAACATGCTACACGCTCTGAGAGATTTTCAGGGCAGGGAAATAATTCTATCTGCTGAACCAATGTACCTCTGTAAGAAAATAATTCTTTAGTGAAACTCTTAGGAGATACTGTATGTGCCATATTTCTTGGCAGCATATTTCAACCATTAATGTCCTCCACTGTTAAAAATTGTGTGCAATTTATAATTAAAATTTCTTTCATTTCAGTTTATAGGTATTTTTCTTGTTATGCCTTTCACTGTGCAAGATTAAAGATCACTGTATCCACCTTCCAGTCTTCTTTTTGAAAAGCCAAGGAAATTGTGCTCTTTAAGTCTCTCCATGCAAAGAATTTTCTACTGCCTCAAATAATTTCTCAGCATTCTTTTGACAAGGACACCAGAGGCTAGTTCAGTATTATCACAAAAAGCTGTTCAATGCCATATTTAAATGGAAAATAATGCCTGCCAGCTTTCCTGAGTAACTTTACCCTTTCAGTGCTGCTCTTCAGTGCATCCCTTCAACCAGTTTCCTGAATGAACTTGTTTGATCCTCTAAATCCAGGGCTGGTAATCTCCTGCCTTCCTTCCTCCTCCACTCATGTACTCCACTCCTCAGTCACTGCAGCCCAGGCTTTGATAACCAGATGATCGATTGCTATATCCTTTAGTTGTTTCTTGTTAGCTGCAAAACACTCCTGGGTGGCTCAGCCACGATCAAGAAGTTATCCTTGATGCCCTCCAGAAATCTCCTTGATTGCTTGCATCCTGATGTGTATACTTGCAGCAGATATCAGACAGGCTAAAATTAACCCAAAACYCAGGGATTGTGATCAAGAAATTTCYWTATTTCTTATTWAAGTTTTCTTCAGCAGATTGGCTGGCCCGTTGGCAAAAATGCTCTGGTCGCCTTTTGTCAGGTGGATTTTTTCTCTCCCCAGCGATACAAGATACGACTGATAACTTTTCTCAGATCAGGTTAGTTACCATGCTGATCTATATAAATTACAGCCATTCTGTTTTCAAGACTCTGTACCCTCAAACATACACAAACATGTGCACAGTCCTGGTTTATTCATCCTAATTTTCCTTAGCTCACCAAATACACTTCGTTTTTTAATAATTCCAATTGCCACAAAGGGCTGGATGATGACAGTTAGGGGATAATTTTCAGTTTTATTCCTCCTTTCCTCRTATTTTACTTCTAGTTTAATGGTTCATGGTACAGAAAGTGTTTCTGCATTTCACCTCATTCTGTGTGGCCTGAGTTCAGTTCGCTTATAACCCAGCAACTCAGTTTACACAGCATTTTAGAACAAAATCAGTCTTTCTGTATATTATTAATTTAGCATCTTCTCAGCTACTCTGCTTAGTCTCCAGCCAYGATTACACACACCTCTCAGATACARGCCAGCACAGCCATACATTCTCCAYGYTTTTWGAAATGTAGTCCAATACCCAAAAATAATTGAATTTTTTCCTTGGAACTAGAGACAGAAAGAGCACTTCACTACAAGAATATTTTACCTTTTTTCTCTAATTTATGGGCAGGAAGAAACTTCTAGGCAATCTCTGACTTTCCGGTTGAGTGCCTTTCAAAATTTCCTGCAGTATTCTCTAGCCTGTACGGTTCCACTTGATGCCACATAATTGGTTCCAAACTGAATTATCTCCCAGATAACGGTATCAGCTTCTGCAACAGTGCAATTGCTTTTCATGCTTTTCTGCTTCAGGGAGACAGCACACTACCTTATTTTTCTCATGTCATGTTTTGAAGAKTTGGTCTACTCTGGATGATAGAGGAGTATCTGTTTTGGTGAGTCTGATTAATWCTGTAAGGAATTGTTTTGGAGATGTTTCTGGCAGCAAATGAATTTCAGTAGATGAACTACTGGATATCTGAAGTTTTGACACTTCTATCCTGCTGAATACCCATTCTTGCTTTTTTTGCTCATAAATGGCCAATCCACTACTTTTGTTTCTATTCTTTCTCATTCCCCTGATGCTGTCCTCCCCCGTGGTTTCTGTGGCAACRGTTTCAGAATGTAGTCATCCAAGAGGTGTTCATTTTCTCAGCTACTATGCTCTTGAAATATACAATTCTAAATGATGGATATAATATAAAGTTATTTTATATGATATTTCAGGATATTTCAGGTTGCAGTAGAGTTCATTTMTAATACTTTCAAAAGTAATATTCTTTGTTTCAGCTGAAGGAAAAGTTACTATTCCATTAACTTAGTTGCTTAAGATCATTTACTTCAGAAGACCATAGAAATTGTAATGATTTAACATTATAGATATTAAAATATCTTTTTTAAAATGCAAGGATGTATTTATGATCAAGGCCTTATGTGCACTGTCATTGTTCTTAACAATAATGCATCTTAATCTACTAGATCTTTCCCGTGTGTGAAAAAAAGACAGGGTGGCAGATTTCTTGGCTAGCTTTGTCCTTCTTTAGTGCAGATATCAACATCTTGAACAGGCCACCTAGATTTCTCYTACAGTCTGCAGACAAACAACATGATTAAGCTCTTTTTCAAGTAGATTCCTCAAGTACTTGGTATGACTACCCTACGTGTCAGCTTTATTTTCCACGATGTCTGAGGCTGAGACATGCAAATCCCAGACTCACAGGAACCAATGGGTTGGTCATCTAGAGACAAGGCAGGAAAGAGAGAAATTAAGTGGTACATGCTTTTCCACATCCCCGTCTTCCTGGGAGAGACCCTGGAGGGACAGCTTTTACACCTGCTGTTTGGATGCAAGAAGTCACTTGGAAGTTATCTTGGCATGAGTGACTAAATTGATAGGAGGCAAAAATTTTCTTAATATATAATTTTCTTTTATTGTTTAGTTGTGAGTTATGCCCATTCACTCTCCTTACCTCTCTTCCACATAAGGAACTCTTTCCCTGGCCATGTCTCAGTGTTTCCATTAAACCATAAGGCACCAACTCCCCTCACCCCACCTCTCCCACTGCCAGCACTCCCCCAGCACCCACTTCTTAGATTTCAACTAATCTCTTTTTAGACTAGAGAAGAGAAGGTTATCCTGCCCCTTCTCTCAACCCTGGTGAGGCCATATCTGGAGTGCTGTGTCCAATTCTGGGYTCCTCAGTGCAGGAGTGATATGGGGCTCCAGAAGCAGGTCCAATGGAGAACAACTAAGATGGTTAAGGGACTAGAGTATCTCTCTGGAGGAAAAGCTCAGGGAGTTAAGCCTGTTCAGTCTTGAGAAAAGACAGCTTAGAGAGGCCCTCATCAATGTGTTTAAATATCTAAAGAGAAGGTGCCAAGAAGATGGATCCAGGCTCTTCTTGGTGGTGTTGAGCAGCAGGACAACAGGACAACAGGCAGAAAGTGATGCACATGAAGTTCCATCTGAATTTGAAGAAGAACTTTACTGCATAAGGGACCCTGCACTAGAACAGGCTGCCCAGAGAGTAGGTGGAGCCTCCATCAGTGGAGTTATTCAATAGATGCAGTGCTGTGCCATGAGCTCCAGGATGGCCCTGCTTGGGMAGGGATGTTGGCCCAGATGACCCACTGTGCTCCCTTCCAGCCTGACATATCCTGTGATTCTAGGGCCAGGTACTGCAATAAGTTGCCAGGGAGGTGATGAAGTCCCCATCCCTGGGGGTGTTTTAAGAGCCGTCTGGATATAGCGTTGGGTGGTGTGGTTTTAGGAGGCTGGGATAAGTTGCCAGGGAGGTGAAGTCCCCATCCCTGGAAGTGTTTTAAGAGCCGTCTGGATATAGCGTTGGGTGGTGTGGTTTTAGGAGGCTGGGTGGACGGTCGGACTTGAAGATCCTAGAGATCTCTTCCAAGAAGATTTTAGAGGTCTCTTCCAACCCTGACGATTTGATGACTGTATAAACTCTCGGGCGACCGACGAACCTGGCGCTTCTGTCTACGGCTCCCGCGGCACCGGGCGGTCCCGCCGAGCCCGGGAGGGGCGGGGCGGGAGGCGGGGCGCAGGCGGAGGGGCGGGGGGAGCCGGGCGCTGACCCGGCGGGAGGCGGGGCCGGGCCGGGCGGGGTGGGGCGGATCGCTGGAGCCGACGGGCGAGGGCGGCGGGAGTGGGGCTGCGCGGCGCCGGTGGGAGCTGCGCGCCCGGCCGTGGGGGCCCCGCGCCGGCGGGGGCGGGGGGCTGCCCCCGCCGCCTGCCTTCCTTTCCTCCCYACCTCCATTCCCTTCCCCTCCTGCTCCCGCCCGGCCCGGCTCCGCTCGGCTCGGCGCTGTGATTGGGCGGAAGATGGCGCTGGGCGGATGGAAATCCTAATGACAGTCTCCAAAATCGCCTCCATCTGTACCATGGTGAGCGACGGGTCGGGGCTGTGCCGGCCCCCGGGGGTGGGGACGCGGGCCGTGGCGGTGCTGCGGGGGCCGGGCTGCGGGGGAGGCCGGGCAGGGGCGCGGGGCGGTGTCCCTGGCGCGGGGCGGGAGCGCTGCCGTGGGTGGCGATCGGGAGCCGAGTGGGGTTAATCGGCTTTGGGAGACTCAACCTGCATGCGGGCACCGAGGGGTTGGGCTGGGCGGGCGGAGAAGCGGGGTCTCGGCTGCGGGACGGGGCCGGGGCGCGGGGTCACCCAGCACAGCCTTTGCCAAAGTGTGCCGAAAGCGGGGACAGCGCTCGAGGGCATCGCCTCCCGTCCGTGGCTGCCCATTGCGGGGGTGTGGTGGTTCGGTCGCGTTTCTGGAGGCGCCCTCCTTGTCCCGACACACTCCGTAGCGTCCCTGCTCTCCCTCCTAGTGCTGCGCTCCTGTGCTGGGGCTGGAATCGCCCATCAGCGAGCGAGTGCTCCCCGGGTTACCCGGACAAGTGCGGGCATCCCATCCCGCCCGATGGGCTCGTCCAGGCGCGCTCCGTGTGAGCAGACTGCTTTGCATCGCTCCGGGTCCCGATAGGAGGCTTCCCCCCGTGACTGCTTTTTCATTACACTCTTTCGTGATGAGTTAGAGCCATAAGCAGAAGCACAGATGTGATAAGGCTCTCTTGGGTTATTTTAAAGAGGAGTGGGGAGCCCAGGAGATTCGCTGATGGAGGAGTGATATATTTAAGAAAGGAAATATCCCTTAGTCAGTAGAAGTTGCTACTTGTCATGGAAGAGATGTGCTAATGGTTCATAGGAGAAGGTCTTGCATTTGTGCTCTTTTCTACCTATTCCCTGGCCGTATGGAAGTGCTTGTTACCAAATCTGTTTCCACGGGGGAAGGGAAGATATGATTAAGGGGAAGAACGCACTCTGTCATCTACTCTGTGAATTTGCTGAATTGCCATTATAATGTCTCATAACATCAAACAGTGGGAAATGCTTACGTTTCATATTATTGGAAACTGATTTATGGTTTTCATAAATCTTGCTGCACAGAGGCTTTAATGTCTTGAGCAGATGTTTCAGAGGTAGCCTGTGAGAATTTTGAATGAATGTCTGTAAGCTCATAGGATGGGTTTGCTCAGGTGGTACTTGGTCACTGGAGTAATGTTTTTTTGTGACATGGGACATGACGTGTTTTAGTTTGGAGTTGGAAGAGTATGACTTCTTGAATTTATTACCTGTATACTAACATCTTTATGTGGCCAGATTTGTAGGACATGTACCATGTGCTTCAGGAGTTTCCATTCTCTGAAGGCAGGTTTTAGGTTGTTGAGGAATCAGTGTGATTGATCCCTGAACTGAGGCAATCTCATTGTATTGCAATTCTAGCTGACATCTGTTCAGCCCAGAATTGGCCTCTGGCCTTTGTGTCAACATAAATTCAGTGCTGGCCTCTTGATTGGGGCCAAGTGTGAGAACTCACTGCACTGCTTCTGGGTTGCATAGAAGCCACAGGTCTGGACTGGCCAAACAGATAGTGTAAGGTTACTCCATACGTATGTTTATTAGAAATGATGTTATGTCACTGAGATTTAGGTCAATCCTGAAACAAGTATTTCAACTAAAATCTTATTACTGACTAAAGTGTCTATATTCATAAAGCTGAAATCCTGATGGCAATTGATACTGTCTGTCCAATCATTATCATGTGCACTGAGGTGGATAAACTCCAGGCATAAGATTGTTCCTGGGCCTTTCAGATCCATGAGCTTTAATAGTGGTGTGATACGGAACACCTAGCATAGGATACCAGCTTTTCAACAATTAATATAGGATTGTGCCTAAAAGTATATCCGTAAAGATAGTGTGAAGAACCACTTGGTATTTACTGTGGAGTTGTTCATAACAGTGTGGTTGTGGTGAGGCAGATCTTTTTAATTTTAATAAGAGTAGAATACTCATGTTTAAGCATATGTTTTGCAAAACTGAGGATTATAATTGCTGAGTAATACTATTTTTTTTTCTGGCAATGCTTCTCCATGTCAACACACTTTGATAAAGTGCCAGACAACTACCTAAGAATTCTTACAAGTTTTTCTGCCTTTTTTCATGCCTCTTACAAGAACTCTCAGACGGTTGCTTTTCTTCTTGTGATTACTCAGTACAAAAACCAGTAACAGGCAATTTTTGTCAAGAGACAGTTTGTGCCTACACAAAACTAGCATGCATGTACACTTACAATCTGTAACAGAGGAGTCTGGAACTATATTGAAGAAGCTCTTCCATTGCAGTTCTGCATTTCATGACTTCTTTTTTTTTAAATCCAAGTTCAAGTTTTGTTTCTTCTGACTTGTTTATATTTTATGCATCTTACCCTTGTTGTTCAAGTCCATATTAGAAAGCAGGATATTATGTTTTACAGTACTGGCAGGTTGTGTGAGCACAGTGATGAGTGATAACCAGTATGTTTGGTTTACCTTTTGGGGATGATCTTCCAAAAGGACATCGTATCTACGGGGCTGGTTCCTTTGTGTGCTCTATTAGTTTGTTGCTCTATACCCCAGTGTTTATAGCAATATTAACAGAGCTCTTTCTGTAGTGTCCTAGTGTTGTATCACCTTTCGGCTTCCTTAAAATTCTTTGCTCTATATCACCATTCCTGTGTTTCCTTGTGCTGAAGTAAGTCTTAATTACAAGTCTGGAGACTGGGGAAAAGTGGAAATACCTTTGCCCTTGAGTGGTTTAGCCATTGTTCTTGATGCAAAATGAATGAGGTTAAAATTGTGTGGTCTATTTTTTAAAGTTATATTTAATGTCTTTGCAGTAAAAGTAGAACTTAGTCTTTTACTCTCATCCATGAATAAAACTGTGATCAAAGTCTTGCTTGACTGAATGATGTGGGGCTTTTATGCATGGCTGACGGGGGATAAAATAACACAGGCTAACTGCAATGAAGATGTGCCCCACGCTGCACTCACAGATTGCATCTACTACTTCTGGCTTCTGCTGCTGTTGTCTAGAATCCAGGAAACACTTGCCAGCAGTTGAAAGGTATCAAGCTGAAGCAAAGAGAAGATAGAAATTGCATTTGTAGCTTAAAAATTATGAAAAGCCTTGAAGATGTCAGTCTCAGAAACACAGAAGGAAGTTGTAATGGTAGTAGTACTTGTTTTGAGTGCTGCTTCGAGAAAGTGTTTGATGATGTTGGCACAACCTGAAAAAGTGTGATGATATTTGAAAGCGATGCTAACCTAGAAACTGTAGCATTAGACATGAAAATCTTCTTCATGTTTTGGGTATTTGTCTATGTATTGCCTCCTCGATCTGCCAGCTCAGTGTCTTCCAAACAGGGTCTGTCAGTGAATGTGTTCAGTGATCATTTCAGCCCCCTGGCACTGACATCAAATGCATAATTTGTGTTAGATGTTAATTGCATGACGTAACAGTGTGTTCTGCATGAGAACCTCTGCTTATCTTACAATCCAAATTTTTGTTTCGTTTTTGAAAGGATTAAGATGTGTGGTGTCATGCTGAATGGCTGGCTATGGTCCTTTTCCTGCCTATCTCCTCTGGAAGGGCACTGTAATGAGTGCCCTTTTGCCAATTTCAGTCACATTTCACAAGGGCAAAGATGTTTCAGAGATACTAAGAGTTCAAACAAACATGTGGGAAAAGGCGTCTTAGAGGAAACATACTCTGGAAGTGTCCCACTGAGGGAAGGTTGCAGTGCACCTACTTTGTGTGTCACAGAGAGAGGCTTTATGAAAACTTAATTGGAGGAAAATTTTCTGGCTAACTGTGGGAGAGATGTGCGTTTATGGGCTTTCTTACTGCTTCAGGAATTGTTTGTTTACAATACGGTTTTCAAACCTGATTGTGAAATCTGCACTTAATGTAAATTGATGTTTGCCAGAGTCTGCAGCCAGCCACAAATGGCTGTGATGTACTCACTCCTGTTCCTTCTAATTGCACTGTCTCCTCTGAAGCACAAATTATAACACTGAAACATTAATTGATGATCAGGTTAACAGATTCCACAGGAAAGTATACAGAGCACCCATGCTGGACGAAGTGAGAATTGAATTACAGCAAGGAATGAAAAGTTACAGGAAAACAGCTCCAAAATGAGGAGGTGACAGAAAGAACCAGCAGAGAAGGAAAAGACTGAAGTAGCACAGAGAGAGCAGCAGTGTTGTGGCATTCTTTATCCAGCTATCCAACTTGCCCATGTGGCACGGTTGGCAAGAAGGAACTTGTGCTGTGTCTCAGCCGCTGCATTTCACTCCGGCACAATGACCTGGATCTGCGGAGCTCCGAGGACTGGAGTGTTCAGGCACATGTTCTGTGGTGGTGGCTCTGTTGCAAGCACAGGAAATTTTGGAGAAGTGTTTGTGAGGCAGTTGGGGTGAGAGCTTACACCACAGTGGGGAGGCTAGCTCATCTGTTGGAGTTACCATCAGGAGAATATTTCATGATGGACATGACACTAAGATTCAAGCATGATTGTGACGTTTGTCATCATCATTTTTGTAGCTGTAATATGCTACAATATGGTAATAAAAGATGAATCTTTATATTTGCTCTTTAAAATTCTGGATTTGGGACGCTGCTTAGTATACTAATTAATTCAGACAAATTTGTTTTAAATTTTCATCCAGATAGGAATTTGACGCTAATATAAACATTGTCAAGTATGAGACACAAAGAAAAACTCCAAGTTACATAGTTGTAAAGTAGTATTTATACCAGCGCACAAAATTATTTAGTTGACACATTAGTTAGCTGGATAATTTTGTTTATGTAAGTGATCCATTTTCTTTTTACCTGCACATGTGCATATATTCATCTTGCAAATTCTAAGCACAAAGAAGCAATGAAATACAAATTTGGACTCCAGTCTTGGCAGCAGAATTTTTAGCTGTGTCAGTGGGAAAAACTGATCCAATTACTGGACAATGCTTGAATATTTAGATTGGTCAGTTATGTAGTCTTTGTATT